AAGCCGTGTGGACCATCCTCGAGTGGGCCTAGGGTGCCATTTTTGAATACTTGCTATTTTTAGCAGGTTAGGCCCAAAATAACATTTGGGTTGCCCGGTCGTTCCTATTTTGCATCGAAGGGTTACATATCCTTATTTACACAGTGTTGGGCTTTTATATCTAATAAGATTTCTCAATTAAGTATTCGTAAGCCCATTACTATTATACGAGCCCAAACAGTAACATGATTAATCATGCATCACGTAAAACATTAATCGTTTTACAATTGTTCAATAATAGGGAAATTTAATACATAGGCTTTGAATTTTAAATTTGAATTTCAATGACGATCGGGTGCGGAGTCACAGCAGTCCCCCAGTCCCCCACATTCTAAAGTCGAGGGATTGTTGGGTGAAAGTGTGTTTGCCCTTGTAGTTTTGATAAACGTTGCCTTGCTTTCGTTGACGTTGAGTAATTTTTAGGAAATTTGTGATTTTCCCGAGGGGGTTTCCTAGTCCCCCACTCCTTGAGGCACATGTAATGAGGTGAAAAGGAGTAGAGCAATGCATATCTTCAAAAGGGGGCCGAGGGTCGACACCTTTTGATCCACAATGGGAGATGCCTCGTTAAAAACCTCATTAGGAAAAAACCCAGTGGGAAAAAATCCTAATGAGGGAAAAAAGAGTACACCGGATGCCCCAAAAATGAAGCAAAAGGGGTGAACCCTTTGGCCTGAGATAAAGGATCACGCTGAGGCTGAAGGGTCATTCGTGATCTAAGGACGACAGGACTGAGAGGCCATTCGTCGTAAAGGCGACGATCCTCATCTTGGAAGGGATGGAGAGCCCTATCGCTAGCTCAAGACGTCCGGCGCTGAGGAAGCCGGTCTTGAGATGCCGAGGCTGAGGGGTCGTTCGTCTCTTGAAGGCGAGGGTCTCCATCCAGGAAGGGAATGGAAAGCCCGCTCGTTAGTTCAAGACGATCGGCGCTGAGGAAGCCAGGCCTGAGATGCCGAGGCCGAGGGGTCGCCCGTGATCTGAGGACGACAGCACTGAGAGGCCGTTCGTCGTACGTGATCCGAGGGTGTATCCGTTGGAAGTAGTCGTCGGAATATGACCGTTAGAGAAGGCGTCCACGTGGCGTGTGCTAGTTGGCTCGCTTCGGGCAGGTGTCACCGGTTGGCTGAGGCGACGGTTCGTAATGATGGGCTTCTAACCAGAGGCCCAGGTTCGGGCCCCAACCGCGGTTGGGGAGGCTACAAATACCCCTAGCCTGAACCCATTCGCTTTGTGCGATCATAATTGAAGCGAAGCTCTGCCAAAATTTTCTTAGAGAGAGAAAGCCTCATTCGATCAAACCCAGTCCCCCAAGGTCAGTTCATCACCTGTTCTCGCCTTCCTTAGCTTTTTTTGCTCTTCTGTCCTTAGATTTGGTGTTAGTATTCATAGACTTTTATATCATCCGAAAACCCTCCGATAATACACCGCAAGACATGGTCGGATGAGAAGTCAGCGAGTGGGAAGGCTTCGTCTAATAATGACTCTGCTGTTGCGGTGGAGGTCCAGAGCAACCTCAGAACCGAGGCTGAGGCTGAAGAGTTCGAACAGGTGTTGGAGGACGAGGAGCTGGCCCTCGCCGTTCAAACCGTGGAGGAGCAGAAGGAGAAAGAGAGGCAGCAGGTGACTGTTGCTATCCCTTAGGCCGTTGCCAGTGCAGCGGGGACTTCACGAGCCCTCAGCCCGGATCCTCTTAGAGCTGCCCCGTCGAAGAAGAAGAAGAAGAAGAAGAAGAAGAAGAAGAAGAAGGTGAAGGCGGAGAAAGTCGATTGTACGTCGATAGTTAGGACTGGAGGGCTAACTTGGTTTTCACTCCGGCCCTTCCTAAGGGTTTCAAGGCCGACACAAGCATCAGGGGCGTTTTTCTGGAGCTGAAGGCGCAGGTCAGCAGCAACCTGCTCCATTTCAGCGAGGGCCCCGCCTTCGGGAAATTTGTTTGAGGCTTCAGCGGTGTTAACCTCATCGAGGCCTAGATTCTTCTCCTCTAGGGTCTTGGATTGACCTCGAGTTCTTCCCATTCTGATGAGTGTTTTTGTTTTCCGGAGGGGAGAGGTTCTTACTTGATCGTTCGACCTCCTAATGAGAGCACCAAATGACGCATAGTGTACTCGGGGGGTAGCTTATCCGAGGGATATTATAAGAGATACCAAGAGAGAGGTCAGAGTAGTAAGTAAGAGAGAGGGAGAGTAGGTGTGTATTATAAATGACCTCAAGATTCAGATCTGGGATCCTTTACAATGACGAAGTGGCTAGCTATTTATAGCTGCCATAAATGTGGGGTAATTAATGAGGGTACACGTGGCAAGTAACCAGCGGTGGAGAGTCAACCCAGCTAAGCACAGCATGTGGCACCGGCATAGCATGTGCCACCGCATTTAATGTGGTGGTTGGACGTGACACCGCATTTAATGCGGTGATTCAGAGCATGTGGAGAGGAGATCCTGTCGAGGAGAGTGCCCTCGGCTACATGCACCCGGGGGCTGCATGTGCTGAAAGCCATGTTGCCATTTTGGCCCTGGTGGCGTGCTGGGGACGTACGTAGCTGGGGAGGACTTCATGTGTTGAAGTATGTACGTCCCCTGGGGTCATACGTAGCTGGGGAGGACTTCATGTGTAGGAAGACGTACGTCCCCAGGGGGTCGTCGTGTGGTGAAGGACGTACGTCCCAAAAGGGTCGTCATGTGGTGAAGGACGTACGTTCCCAAAGGGCCGTACGTAACTGGAGCTCTTCATGTATTAGAGGCCGTACATACTCAGGGCTCTTCATCTGTTAGAGGCCGTACGTACCCAAGGCTCTTCATGTGTTAGAGGCCGTACGTACCCAAGGCTCTTCATGTGTTAGAGGTCGCACGTACCTGAGGCTCTTCATGTGTTAGAGGCCGTACGTACCCAAGACTCTTCATGTGTTAGAGGCCGTATGTACCCAAGGCTCTTCATGTGTTTGAGGTCGTACATACCCGAGGCTCTTCATGTGTTAGAGGCCGTGCGTACCCAAATCTCTTCATGTGTTAGAGGTCGTACGTAACCAAGGCTCTTCATGTGTTAGAGGCCATACGTACCCGAGGCTCTTCATGTCTTAGAGGCCGTACGTACCCAAGGCTCTTCAAGTGTTTAAAGGTTGTACGTCCCCTTGTGGCATCAGTGCGCCTGGAAGAATGTTGCTGGACGTACGTCCCCTGGGCCGTACGTATCCCAAGGCTCTTTTGGTCGTACGTCCCCTACACCTTGTCGTAGTATGGGTTGTCCGGAGTCTTGTTCGTTTTACTTGGGCCACCTGGGCCTATTGGGCCGGATTATATTAATGGAAGTATGTGGGCCGGGGGTTCCTGGGCCATATACTCCATCAATAACATTGATGGCTATGTTAAGACCCTTGCACTCCTTCGTGTTATGCCCTTTACACTTGTGGTATTGGAAGGAGGCATTTTTGTTGCCCATCTTCATGCTCATGTCAGTGGGAGGGGGGCGATGATCCCCTCATCCTTGATATCCTCATATATTTAGGCAATGGGGTGGAAGAGCTGGGTGAAATAAGGATACCTGCCGTAAGCCTTTGGGGATAACCGACGTGCGATTTCTTCCGCTTGGATGCTGAGGCGTCCATGGGCACTGGGCCCAGTCTTTCTGTCAGCTTGCGCGGGGCGGCTGCCGGCACCTGGTCCCTCATGACGATTTCTTCATGAATAGCCACATATCGTTGTGCTCAGGCTAGCACTTCGGCATAGATGGTCCCTGGGTCCTTTTTCAGATCTCGGAAAAGGTCTCCCGTTCAGAGTGCATTGTTGAAGAGAGTGATTCGTGTGCACTCCATCAAATCTTCCACGTTCAACGTTTCATCCCTCCACCGCACCAGAAATTTAAAAAGGGATTCCATGGGATTCTGTCTAATGCTCGTGAGGTAGCTGAAGTGCCTCTTCGGGGTGGAGCTAGAAGCAAATTGTGCCAAGAACTGCCTGGACAGCTCATCGAAGCTGTCAATGGTGCCAGGCCACAGCTGGTTGAACCACTTCTGGGTCGGTCCTCACAGTGTCGATCCTACCTAAGCTCGGGCCTGAGTCGAGCTTCATAAATGGACCCTATACATAGTATTTCTTTTTCATATAGATTCATTAAAATTCAATGATTAAATATCACAAAAACACAATTCTTAAATTAAAGTCTTACATTATAGCAAAATTACATTGAATGTATTAAAAAACTGGTTAAGTACAACTTGCCGAACAATTTAGACGCAAATGTATTAATCAAGTCTGCAGGATCTATGTTATCAATGAATTTCTTCTCAATTGATCATATAGCTAATTCATTCAATCTTTTTTGAGACATGGTTGAAGATGTACTCTCCAAAGTGGCTCTTTTATTCAAAATGAAGTACTATGTACTACGTACTTAGTAATGTTTCCGACCTGACTTTGAGTTAATGATTTAATACGTGGTTTTTTTTCCTCTTGAAATCGAGACAAAGATTTGAGAGGTAAGGTACTAAAAAAACTTCATAATTTAGTGGAATCCCTAACAATATATATTAGTAACTTTCTCTACAAAATACAAAACATTTAATTTAATTAATTGTAAATTGAGAATTTCATATTTGCAATATGGGTAACACTAAATAAAAACAACAAGCAAGAATCAACTAGTTTTAAAAAATTTACAAATTAGCCCATTTGGCATTCACACATGACAAATTAATTATACATCATAATAGCATTTAGCAAATCAATATAAAATTAAAAAAAATCTGAAAATACAAACAAATAACTAAATAAGCAAGGGTCTTAACATAGCCATCAATGTTATTGATGGAGTATATGGCCCATCAATAACTACAAAATACATATGTATAATACTAATACATATAAAATTTTGGGCCCCTGATTTTTACAAATTTTTGGGGCCCTAAGGCCCAAGCCTCTTCGGCCTTACATAAGGAACGACTCTGGGTCCTCATAGGGTGCTGAAGAACAGGCTGCAGAGAGCATCATCTGTTGCACCCAAGAGCATGAGGCCGCCCTAGAAGGTGAGTATGTGAACCTTGGAGTCCCCTACCTCGTTCTAGACCAAACCGCTCAACGACATGTAGAACCGGGGTATCTCTGTCGCCATAATCCTTGAAGAGAAAGGAGATGCGAGGCAAAGACGGGGTTGTGTCGGGGATCTGGTCGCCTGTCGACTCAGCTCGTCAATCTGCCTTTGCATACCGGCCATCAATACCTCCTGCGCGGTGGGGACAGGAGCAACGGAAATTGCCTGGGCGTGGTGTGGTTGTCGTTCCTTCCCATGTTTTAGAAACGGCGGCCCACGTGGTTTACCGTGGGAGTAGGATCCGTTGCATGGGTGATGTCGTGATGGATCACCGGGGTTCGATCTTGTCGTCCCCGAGCGGCCCCGTCCTCCTCGCCCACGAAACCCCGACGATCCGCCTATCCGCGTGTTGACTGATGTACGCGATGTGTCGGTGTCCCCCCGTATCATCCCCAAAGGATTGCATTTGTTGAATGGGAGACCAGGGAGTATGTTCGGTTTCTGCAGTGTAAAATGCTCGTTCGTCTTCCTCTCAATCCGCCATGCGTCACATGGCATCTGCCAGCTGCCTCATGAGCCGGGGATCCCTCCAGGCTTCGAGAGGGATCATGTGAGTGATATCTTTGTGGTTGCTCTGATGCGACCATTTAGTGTCGGACGGCTCCGTCGAGGCTAAGGTTCGTGACCTTATGTTGTCTGCCAAATGTTCGGACAGGTCCTGGCTATGCTAGGATGACAGTGTGGGCATTTTGCTGGTCGAGATGTTTGAAAATGAGCATCTTAGCATGAGAGCCTGCTCGGAAAATTTTTGTTTAGTTTCCCAGAGATAGCGCTAGTGTTGAGGTTTATTCCTTCGAGTCCAAGAACTCAACACCTTCCCTAGGGCTTTCGTTGGAATGATAGTGATTATGTGAGTATAAAGACAAGTATTTAGAATTTTGTAATTTTGCTTGTGTTTATGACAATTGCCAACATATTTATAGTCAATCAAACATCTTGTGATTGGGTGACATTAAGAGGAAGTCACAAATTCAAAATCTATCCATTTCAAAAATGTTGGCATTTTAGGTTGAACCAATACTATACGAGAATATGAAATACACAAAAAAAAACATCCTTATATTCATCAGGAATAGTATTTATTTGGGACTTGCAAGTTCGCGCGCCGTACGACTACGTTTTTCGGTAACATATCCTTCAATTTGAGCTCTGACAGGGTCCGACGTTCGTCGCTCTCTCTCTCTCTTTTCAGTCTTTATTTTTCATCATCGTCACCAATTTGCACGAGTCTGCTGATCGCCGTAAACCAGCTCTCCACTGACCACCGCCCGCACATATTTCCACTGGAGGCTAGTGTTCATAACCCAGTTATTTTGCCAGACAATTATCTCCCTGCACTCCACCAAACCGCTCTGAGGTAAGCGATTCACACATCGCAGGTTCGGCGTCTCCTCACTGCTTTTGACTCTTCTGGTTATGTGAAGATATTTTGTTCCTTCTTAAATGTCACCATACGCGGAGAAATGTTTAGGATCGTAGTGTCTTAGGCAAAACAGCTAGAGCTAGGGTTTAGAGTCGGGACTCATAATGTTAAACAAGATCATAAAGAGGGGGAATCGGAAGGCGCAAAAATCCATCGGAGGGGATTTCAAGTACGGACCTCAGCAGGTTACCGCGTCCAATGTGGTGGTGAACCATGCTTCCAGGGGCGGCTTGCAGGTAGATTCAACACAGTCGCACTTGTTTACTATGGTGCCGCCAGTTCTGGTCCCAGGAACTATTGAGAACCTTCCTGTATTCCGAGATGTGCCGGTGTCGGAGCGCCAGAACATGTTTCTGAAGAAGCTTCAGATCTGCTGCTTCCAGTTTGATTTCACAGATGCAATGAGGATGGTGAGAGAGAAGGAGATCAAGAGGCAGTCCCTTGTGGAGCTTGTAGATTTCATTCAATCCGGATCTGGAAAAATCACTGAGAGCAATCAGGAAGAAATGATAAGGATGATATCCATCAACATATTCCGGTGCTTGCCTCCGAACTCACACGAGAATACAGGATCAGACAACACTGACCCTGAAGAGGAGGAGCCCTTTCTAGAGCCCTCATGGCCGCATTTGCAGCTCGTCTATGAGCTTCTTCTGCGCTACATTGTCTCATCCGACACAGATACAAAGATAGCTAAACGGTTTATTGATCACTCATTTGTGTTGAAGTTATTGGATTTGTTTGGTTCTGAGGACCCAAGGGAAAGAGAGTATTTGAAAACAATTCTTCACCGAATATACGGAAAGTTCATGGTGCACCGGCCATTTATAAGGAAGGCAATCGGCAACGTCTTTTATGGATTTATATATGAAACAGAGAGACACAGCGGGATAGGTGAGCTTTTGGAGATTCTGGGAAGTATAATAAATGGGTTTGCATTGCCAATGAAAGAGGAACATAAGTTGTTTCTCGTTCGTGTACTCATCCCACTCCACAAGCCAAAATCAATAACATTGTATCATCAGCAGCTGTCGTACTGCATTTTTCAGTTTGTGGAGAAGGACTACAAGTTGGCTGATACGGTTATAAGAGGTCTTCTGAAATACTGGCCTGTTACTAATTGCCAAAAAGAGGTTCTCTTCCTTGGGGAGCTTGAAGAAGTTTTGGAAGCCACACAACCATCTGAGTTTCAGCGTTGCATTGCTCCTCTATTTAGACAGATAGCTCGTTGCCTGAACAGCCCCCACTTTCAGGTTGTTAGACATTTTTCATAACTTCCAACTATTGTTATACTTTTTATTTAGATTCTCTTTTTAGAGCTGATTCTATATGTTTGTGTGCTTGTGCTGTATTGTTATCCATTTAATTTTTATTGTTGGGTTGAATAGCAAGATCTAAAACCTTAAACATTTTAAAGTTGCATGTACTTTAAGTTGTGTGCCAAGCTGCTTGCTTTTTTGGCTGGTTTATTCCATGCTGATGAACATTGAGGTTAACTGCAGTTTTATCAATAAATCTGTTTCCCCAAAGAAAAGAGCCTTATTTCTACAAAAGAAGCTGATTCTCGTTCAATTTAATGTAATTTAAATAAAACAACAGGTTAAATGTACTACCTGAGTCTAAGAACAAAATTAAAAAAATAAGAATATGGGTAATATTGATAATTTACAAGATTTGTATCTTGTTAAAATTGAAAAGTTATACTTTGATGACACATGACTCTTTTTGGACTTCGGAGATGGGTGGAGTAGGATTTGTTGTCATATTTAGAAAGCAGAAGTTTAGGCAATGAGGCCCTAAAGTTTAAGTATGATGTTGTGTGTGAGGCTGCTCTATGTTTATCATAGAGGTGAATATAATGTAGGAGCTTATGTGGAGAGGGATAAGGCCATGTACATCCGACCCCCCTTACCCCAATGTAGGTGGGAGCCTTTGCGGCACTGGGGTAATGTTGTTGGTTGTTGTTGTAGTTTATGTGGAGAGGTTTTTAGGGTTCTTCCTTAAGTCTCTTGCCCCTCCTTGTATGTTAGATCCTTTCTGCTATCAATCAACTTTGATTTTCTGAATTGCATACGGGAGCTGATGGAAGAGGGCAGGATCTGAGTATTCTCAACCACAATTGGATAATGGGAGACTTTAAGAAAGGTGGCATTGCTTTCCAATCGAGTTTGTCAACATTTGTCACATCCCTGGACCTGCCTTTCACACTACCTGGTTTCACCGATAATCCCTCCTGCAGTTCTTCCTCCTTTAGGGTCCATTTGAAATATGGATAACATTATAGAAAGAAAATAGGGGGAAAGCAAAATTTGGCATAAAAGATCCATTCTACGTAGTATCTCATTAAATTTATTCTAGATGCTTGTTCAAACTTATTCTTTTTTAATTTATTTATATGACTACAAAAACCAAGAAAATATGATTATATGTATTAAAGCGTCATACTTCATTAGTTCATTTTCCCTTGCATTTTCCAAGGTAAAGCCAAACATAAGAAATAGCTTTCCTTGGCATTTGTTTTTCTTTCACTGGCATGGTATGGATCCAAATATACCCATAGACTTCAGTACTTAAGTTATTATATTCTTTAAAGATTCGTTCATCAGCAAATATACATATACATATACATGCTGTTACAGGTTGCAGAACGAGCTCTGTTTTTATGGAACAACGAACACATTGTAAGCTTGATTGCCCAGAGCAGAAATGCCATTTTACCCATTATTTTCGAGGCTCTTGAAAAGAACATACAGTTTCATTGGAATCAAGCGGTCAATGGGCTGACTGTGAATGTAAGGAAGATGTTCATGGAGATGGATGCTGATTTGTTTGAGGAGTGCCAAACACTGTACGCAGAGAGAGTGGGCCGGGCCACGGAAATGGCAGAACAGAGACAATACAAATGGCAGAGATTAGCAGCTGCTGCAGGGGAAGAGGGGTGAGAGATATTAAGTTTGTCATTGGAACATCATCATCATTATCGTTGTACTCACAACTGCTCTCAGTATGTATGCATGTATTTATTTTTATCATAACTGTGATAACATGTACTCGGTATCAATTTAAGAACGTGGCTTGTGAAAGTTATCTGAGTGCATTTTGTCATATACACTTTTCTTGAGAGAAATTGTTTCTGATACTGAAGAAAGCCTAGCTACTGCCTACTACTTATAGATTATAAATCCGGTTTAAAGCACTTCTCTTGTGATTTTCCTTTTTTTTCAGAACTGTAAGGATTGTTTTCAATCCTCTTATGTTTTGTACTCTGAGAACTGTAGTTTACTCTTCACTCTTGTGGGGAAATGCTTCTTTGTACAGTTTTGGGATTCCGTTACATTTTTATCATTTTTGGAGATATTCTCAAACATCTTTTTTCATTAATAAGACTCCAAACAGGAGCACGACTTGATCATATGTGTCATCCGTTGGTCCGTCCTATAATGTAAGCTGCATATAAATTTAGTGTGGGTTTTAAGAAAATAAAGGTTAAAGTGGCTGGTTTACGATTCTAACCTCCAAAACGTAAGAAAAATGAATATGAAATGATAGATAAAGAGATAAAGTGAGAAAGTAAAACGTTAGTAGAAATGTAGAATTCAATTTAAGAAGTGTTCATATTTTTGGAACAATTTAAAAAAGAAAGTGTATCTGGTTTGGGACTGAAATAAGTTCGAGAAAAAATATTCTGGTTTGATATAGTTTGATTTGAATTAGTCTGGTTTGGTAGATATTTGGTCTCCATTCCGATTTGATCTGGTTTGGGACTGAAATAAGTCCGAGAAAAAATATTCTAAGTGTTAAGTGATAAACACTAAACCCTAAATGTTAATTATAAACTATAAGACCATAAATCCCAATGATGTTTTTGGCTGAAATTAATTCTCAAACAAAGAATTTCATCAGTCCTATTTTAGAAGTAAAGTATAGGTAGCCTTATTTTTTTTAAAGTACGGAGTATAACTTTAGTTCTATGTAGAGTCACGCTCGTAACTTTTTAGCAAATGAGTGACTAAAAATAGATTGTAACCCCTCTGATGAGGGAAAACTGTCAAATAAGCCCCTCTACTTTGTACGGAAAGTCAATTAAGTCCCCCCTACTCTAAATTCGTTCATTTCAGTCCACGAAGTCTAAAAAACAACCAATTAGACCGTTTGGAAGGTTACCAACCGGTAACCCCGTTCACTGCTTATGTGGCAGCCTAAGTGGCAGTTTTTAAGTTGGCTGAGTAAGTTGACATGTCAAATATTTTTAAAGATGCAATGGGAGTATATTAAAAAATAAAAAAATAAACCCTAAACACAAGTCTGAGTCTTCTTCCTCCCTGGGTCGTAACAGTCGTCGTCTTCGAATGAAAGCAGATGGCATCTTCATTCGCATCTACTGCCACTAAAGGACGAAGTTCTACTCTTTTGTATGAACCGCCTGTGTATTGCCTTAGTGGATTGAAATCCCCCTTGTGTGTTGTACGCGAAACAGGGAGAAGTTTTTATGGTTGTCAAAAATGGAAGGTAAAAATATAGCTACAACAGTATTCATTCGTTCGCCATTGTAAGCGAAACAGGGAGAAGTATTAATTCTTCGAATTCGGTTTTTAAAAAGATGGGAGTGTTTAAGTTGTTGTTTGTTGTTAAATTTTGAGGGTAAACAATTCCCCCATTGTCAATTTAATGTTCCCTTTAATGTTTGAACATCCCTGACATTCCATTCCAGGTTAACATGGGATGTGGATTTTTCTTGTGGAAGGATGATGTAGAGATAAGAGGCACACATCATGGAGAAGAGATGAAGACAAAAGCAGACAATGTGAGGTTCATGACTACTGCAATGGTTGAACAAAGGGCTGTACAAGGACAGATTGCTTATCTTACAAAGCTACTTGAAAATGAAGCCAAGGAAAACAAAAAATTTAGGCAATCAGTTGCTTTTGTTTTCATTGTTGTAGTTGCTTTTGTTGGTATGTTGTATATGCACTTCAACACAAAAAAATGCATATATTAGTGGTTGTAGTAGTGTGTTGTAATCTGGTGTAACCAAACTTCATGAACACCATTTAGTCTGTAATGACAGTTTTTCATTGCTAATGTAGTACTTATTGATGACCATTTAGCACTTTCCATTGTTAATATAGTAAAACTTTTCATCCTTTGTTGACTTTTGGTACAATTTAATGGGCTGAATTGAACATACTGTGTTGGTATGTCTATGAAGATTTCGATTGTCTGGGAATTAAACATGGGATGAATTGAAGATGAATTAAACATTAAACGGATCCCAACATTAAACACACTGAATAGGAGTTGACCTACTCCTAACACCATTTAATATATATGTACCTGTTATAGTAAAAAACAGATTCATACTAATGGTGAATGGGTTGAATTGAACATGATTGTACATCCAAAAACCAACACTGATTTGAGAACATAAAAGCATAAGTTCTGGCCCACATATACCATACGTACAAGCAACTTTATAGTCAATATTCACCCAAAAAAGCTCACAAAGTTTTGCCAAATATACTGCAAACAACAGTTTCAAGCCAAACTACCACCACACATAACTTATCCAACAAAACAACTAAGTCTTTACATCCCATTACATAAAAGCCATCAAGCAAAACAAAAAGTCTTTACATCTTCATCACCCATCCAGCAAAAAAACCAGAAGACTTTCCATCCTGCAACCTTCATTTGCCCTTTATCTTCATCATCCATTCAGTACTGTTTCACTTGGCTGCCCAGGCTGAAATGAGGTAACACCACATTTGAATATACAAATTTACAACAAATTCCACCACAACAACATTGAAGTAGACAGATTTTAACTTACATCAAGAAGGGTTTCACCAGTGTTGTGATTGTAGTACACACCAAAACCACTTTGTTGTCCCTCCCCTCCCTCACTTCTGGTAAGGACCATTTCAATGGCGTCGTTCTTCTTCACTGAGAGCTGAATGGCGTCGCTGGCAACATTGAAACATTAGGGCTTAATTTGAAATGTTTAGGGTTTAGTTTTTTATTTTTAAATATACTCCCATTGCATCTTTAAAAATATTTGACATGTCAACTTACTCAGCCAACTTAAAAACTGCCACTTAGGCTGCCACATAAGCAGTGAACGGGGTTACCGGTTGGTAACCTTCCAAACGGCCTAATTGGTTGTTTTTTAGACTTCGTGGACTGAAATGAATGAATTTAGAGTAGGGGGGCTTAATTGACTTTCCGTACAAAGTAGAAAGGCTTATTTGACAATTTTCCCTTCTGATGATGATAATAATAAATCAATTGTTTTTCCTCAAACAAAAATAATCACTTGCATAATATGCTTAAAACCAGTAATAGATGCACAAATGCACAATACGGCATGACCCATGTCTAGATTAGAACGGAAGTGAGTGGGCAACCCGCTTGAACCCAAACCCCTGGCACCCGTTCAAACCGAATTGTAATCCGGGTGGCCGATCTTAGAGCAGTTGATATTAGGGATGGACTAAATCGGGCCGGCCCGACCCGGAACCGGCCCGGCCCGTTACTGTTTGGGCCCGGACCGAACCGGGACCGGTTGGCCGGTTCCGGGCTTTTAGCCCGTTTGGGCGGGTCGGGCGGGCCGGGCTCGGGCCCAACTTTTGGTGAACCGGCCTGGGCGGTTCGGACCGGGCCCGGTTCAATTTTTTTGTTGTTGTTGTTTTTTCAATTTTTTTTTGCTTTTCTAGGTTAGGGTTAGGTGTTTTGGGGGGGTTTGGGGGTTGGGGGTGAAGGGGGGGGGGGGGGTCGGGTGTTAATTAGAAACCAAAAAAAAATTGAACTTGACCCGAGCCCGGCTCGGCCCAGCCTGGTTAGGCCCGGACCCGGTATCAACCTGGGCCGGTTCCGGGCCCAACATTTTGCAAAAAAAGCCCGCCCGGAACCGGAACCGGACCGGCCCCGGTCCATCCCTAGTTGATATATTGTGGGAGCAGCCCACGGTGAGCATACCGCTCCCAGAGGCCAAAAAACGTGTGTTATTGTTCGAAGAGTAATTTCGTTTTTGTTTTTTCATTGTCCCAGTGGAAGAATAATGTTACTCGCGTGTAAAAAAATGTAACTCACACTGATAAGAAATGTAACTGCAGGCAAGTCAAAATGTAACTTGTCTAATACGGATCATAAGAAATAAAACATTGATTTTAATAAAAACAAGGAATTTAATTACTCAATTGCTTTACGTAAATAGTGAATATGTTTTGTTTTTAATATTAAGATCATAAAAATGTTTTTTTGTTTTTTTTTTTTGCCAAAAAAAAACGTTTTTTTCCGTACAATAACATTTTGTTTTTTCAAAAAAAATGATTTTTTGTTTTAATAGCAGGGGTTTACTTAAATAGTGACTATATTTTTGTTTTTCAGATTAAGGCCATAAAAATGTTTTTTAATCACTTTTTTTGCCAAAAAAATCTTTTTTTTTTTTGCCAAAAAGTTAGTTTTTTGCAAAACAGTGATTCTTTTGTTTCAATAGCAGGGTTTTATGTTGTGATGTAATTCGAAAAAATGTAACTCGCGTTAATGGAAAATCTATTTTAGGTGTAGGCAAAATGTAACTTGTTGAGGCAAATCCAAATGTAACTGGTGCACAGAAAGATGTAATCCATGCATAGAAAGATGTAACTCATGCACAAGATGATGTAACTCATACATAGGAAAATGTAACTCCATATACTATCAAATGTAACTCCTTATAATGTCTATAAACATAACTCACACATATGAAAATGAAATATCATATTTTATCAGATTTAAATCGAAATAAACAAACTTAATGTCTTTAAACCACTAAAGCATATTTAAGAGATAAGAAATTTATAATAGAAAAATGATATGAATATGAAAAATATTTTACAAAAAGGTGGATAAATGTAAAAAAATACACAAAAAGTAAATTCAATAGTAATTTAAGATGATGAAAAAAGTAAAAAAAAAAATAGTGTATGATTATAAAATACAATATACTTATTTTATGTGGGTTATAAAATTTTTGTAATAAATTGGTAAAGAAATAAGTTAATCCAGTTCTAATTTAATTAGTTAAAGATAAAAATAAGTAAAAAATAATAAATAAATTACATGTAAGTCGCGCATAATTAGATGTAACTCGTGCATAAAAAGGTGTAGCTCGCGCATAAGTAGATGTAACTCCATGTATTATCAAATATAATTCAAGGAATCATGTATAAATGTAATTCGCACATATGAAATATGTAAATCAGACACATGAAAATGTAATCACCTGTTTTATCAAATGTTAATGGAAATAAACAAACTCAATGCCTTTAAAACACTAAAACCTATAAAAGAGATAAAATATATATTATAGAAAAAAGTGTATGAA